TTCAAACACACTCTTTATCTTTAATGTTGGTATGCATCCTTGCATAAACTAACCTAGAATGAGCTGTGAATCCTAATTCTATATCACTAGATATAACCTGAGTGTTAGCTTGCATTTAATCATAATTCTAATGGTCTGAGAATTCATTTCCTTGAAAACCTACAAGTTGTTTACAACATGAAATCAAGTTACACCTAGGTGATTAATAGAAAATGTCAGTAGATCCAATGCTACGTTTTACAAACAAATGCATGCTATTATGGGGCCTAGATTATGCGAAAATATTTATTTTAGAGCATCCTCAAGATTACCTTGGTTACAAAGTCACAACAAATATCACATTATGAAGATATGAATTCACCAATGCAAGCCAATAATATTTGTAAACACTTTACCTATATAATTCTCAAGTCTAATCCAAACAACAAAAAAGTGCAGAAATTTACTAAGATGGCAAGACTGATAAGAAGAAATTAGGGTTTTTCACTTTAGTCAACAAAAGGCTGGAAATTAGGGCTTTTATCAAACAAAATATTAGGACATCAACAAATTAGGGTTTTGAGTTCACCTTAGTGATAGACGAAATTGAGGAGAAGAAGAGGAGATCGGCGTTGACGGTTGCCGATGAAGAAGAGGACGAGGCGGACTTCTTGAAATCGTCAAGCAAAGAAGGCCAGAGCGCAGAGGACGAGGCTTGAATGGGGAGCCGGAGCTGGAGGATCTCGGAGGCGAAGTCTGGACTTTTTAGATTGAATTAAATTCGGGTCGGGTTGCGGATAACATGAGTATATGTTACAGACCCGACCCGATATAAGTATTAGCAACTTAGTTATTTAGCACATTTCAAACATCATGATATCCAAACTGTATCCGCAATTTTGACCCGACAACCGTATCCGGATGAAAAATCATAATCATAATCATATTCTAAATCATCCGGTCGGTTTTAATTTTTCCCTATCATATCCGCTTTTTTAACAGATACGGTTGCGATTGGTCCGAATATAACCGAACCGTTTTGCACCCCTATTCCCAAGTCCTAACCCTATGATGTATTTGGTAGAAAGAGTAAAACCACTCTATGGCATCATCACGAAGATAGAACAGGCTGAATGGCACCCGACCATGGTCTAGAGTATTGTGCAAGAGAAAATAGTATTCCATTTGAAATATCTAGTTAAGGATAGCAATTCCAAACTCACCAGAGAATGCGGGGAGGTCAAGTTTAGCCTGTTTAGGGGGTGTGAATTATGGTGGGGGTAGGCATATTGTAAGGGATGTATGGGTAGGTTGGGTGGGAGAAATTGAAGGGGATGGGTCCTGGAATTGGACCGCCTCCTAGTGAAGCAAGATCAATGTGAGAGGTTAGGTTTTGGGGTTGAGTAGATAGAGGCCAAGCTGTGGGGTGTAGAGGAACTTGATTGGATTGCAATGGATATTGAAACCCAAAACCCATCAACATAGCAGTAGTTGGCACCATAGGTTGCATCGGTGCCATAGATGTAGGCATCCAAGATTTCACAGATGGCATATGGACAATAGGAGTGGACATCACAGATTGCAATGACATTGTAGGGGAGAACACACAAGGCAAAGAAGCAACCACCTGAGTAGAAGGGTGTAATACCTCAGCACTGCTGATCGGGGGTACCATAAGGAGTTGGCGATAGAGGAGGCATGGGAACTGGAAGAATTCCCTCGGCTCCACTGCTTGCCCCTGGATCTGATGGAGTCGCATTAGTGTGCATGTGTTGCATTGCAGCCGCTAAAGTTGCAATCTGGTTGTCGAAACCCAATATCTTATCTCCAAGCAGCTTGATGTGACCTTTATGATTTGATCCTTGTCTCGAGAGGAGATGATATTGTTCCGTTAGTAGGGGAAATGAGAGGACAGGATACCGGTTGCCCTGGTGAGGCCACACGAGACCTGTCATTAGACAAACCCCACTAACGTGGATGAAGTGAGGCATCTTCCTCAACAAGCGTCCCATCTCCCATCGCAGAATCAACGGGCTGAATCAACGAGCTCTGATACCACTGATGAAGGTCCAACATTTGACTGAGCCATGGGAAAATGTTTGTTTCTCATTAACCAAGTTCGAACACATGAATTACAATGAGAAAACCCCAAATCACAATCACCACAACAAAATCACATATTTCTAGGGGTACATCCATTTATTAGATCTTCTAACCACAAAATAACTAGGACTAAGTAAGCAAATCTAGCGTTTACAACTCCAAAACCCAAATCACAATCCATGCAAGACAAACTTACAATCATACACACCAGAGAAGAATGAGAAGAAGGCTTGTTGAGCGAAAGAAGCCGGAGGTCAATGAGGAGACAAAGAGCAGCAAAGGCCAAAGATGAAAAAAAATTAAAAGG